GCTTCAGGGCAGCAAGCTTCTCTTTCTGAAGACACTCCTCTTTGCTGGCTTTGGGCAGATGGCACCTACAGATCTGTAGAGTTTGGCACCAATCACTTCCCTCTGGTTTTATCTCTAAGTTCATCGCTGTCTGGACTTCTAGTGGCAATGTTTTGGCTTATGGAATTGTTTATGGATTTGTTCCATAACTAAGATTTTCTTTATTATTTCAGTGGGATCTGAGAAAGAAAAAAGGTAAATATCTGTATCCAGTTGGTTGTCTTAAATGGTGGGTCTCATCCAAAGGACCTACCCCTACCTGCCCCTATCTCTCTTTATAATACATGAAAAGCAAGCCTTAGACTTAAACACACTGTTTTCTTCAGCCATACTGTTCAGGGAAACAGTATGGTGGTTTGTGAAGAAGTTAAAAATAGAAGATCACATGACCCCGTCCTCCTAAAACAGGGGAAATTCACACCTTCAAGAGAGCCAAGACATGCAAATCATCTGCAAGTTCATTGGCTAATGGATGGGTTTTCTCTCACAAGCAGTAGGAATATTACTCGGGATATAAAACAACTTTAGTGACCCAATATATAATGTGGGGGCTAAATTTGATATAATTGTATTTCCTTAAAATGTTCTTAACTAGGTGGATTTTCACTGTAGGTTACGAAAAAGTGACAAGAAAAAGCAACAGGTCTGTGACTGCGTTGCTATAGTAATGACATCTCCTAGCGATGACCCAAACTGAGAAGTTCACAACACAAACACAACACAACATCTATTCCTCTTTGTTTTGAAATTGAAAAAAAGATCTTGAAAATCATATGGAATGGCAAAACATTCTTGGTTCTTTACTTCCCAAACTATAGTCTTCTCCTGGTTCTGACATGGCCTGTAATCTGTCATCTTACCTGGAAGTCTCTTCATTTTTTTTTAATCCCAGAGAATTTAGGCAACAACGAGGACCCTAAGAGAGACATACATGGATCTAATCCACATGGGAAGTAGAAAAAGACAAGATTTCCTGAGTAAACTGGCAGCCTGGGGACCTTGGGGGAGGGTTGAAGGGGAGGGGAGAGACAGGGAGGGGAGCAGAAAAAAATGTAGAGCTCAATAAAAATAAAAAAAAAAACAAAAAAGCTTAAAAAATAAGAGTGGAGTTTTTCATCAACACTGTTATTTGCAAGTCACTATTTATGTATTTATTATTTATCTTGATGTTGTAAATATGCTTACTAAACCATTACTAGTATCTTTGCTTGCAGATGAGTTATTCAAGATGCTGGTTGGTACCCAATGACAGAGGGCTGGAAAGGAGCGTGTGTATAGAATGAGCTGGGCATGCCATGGTGTCTCTGGCTCCCTGAGTCCTCCCTGAAGTTGTGATGGGGGAATTCTAAGGGATTTGGATAATGGCCTGGCTTTCCACCTCTACTTTGGGCTCTTGTTCCATGGTGAAGACATGGCTGAACCAATGGGCCTCTTTGCCTTCTAGTTGATTTTTGGCTTCAACCAACAGGAAGGAAGGAGCCTTCCCCTGACTCGTGTGGGCTTGGCTTCCTTCTACCCACTGGTGGCAGATGTCATCTCACAGAACTGAGTCTTCCCAGTCAGCATCATCTCTTCTGCGCTGTGCCCCTCAAACCCTGTGTCCTCAGTGTCCATCTTCAACAAGATTAGCTCAAACAACCCAGCTCCCCCTGGTTTCGGGGTGGATTTTAAATGGTTCTTTGATTTGGTATTCTTTGAATTATCCTGTTATAAACCTGGAACCTGCTACAGGTTCCATGAGGATGAATTGAGCATAGTATTAACAACAACTGAATCTTGAAGGGACCAAGGCGCTGTGCATGCATGGCTCATTACTATGCTTGTGTAGCCTTGATATCACATTTGCTCCGATGCTAGCACACCTGTGACCCAGGACAGGCTTGGTCACGGCTGCAGAGCAGGTGCCGGCATTCCACCTTATGATTTGGGCCACAATTCTTCCTGGTCCCCGTTCCCCAACCATTCCCAATGTCTAATGCCATTGAAGGTAGTTTTAGGACACTAATGCCTTCTTTTTTCTTCTGTGCTGGTGGTTTAACAGAGGTCACCGACTTCGCTGGGCAAGTTACAGATTTCTGGTGTTCTCGTGCTAAGTCACAGAAGCACGAGGAAAGGCTCAGGACATTTTCCTGTGGACTGCAGATGCCCCAATTGTCTGCACCGCCCTTAATTGTAGTATTACAGCTTGAATCTGAAATCTCCCCCTGTGGGCTCACGTTTTGAATGTTTGTCATCCCCTCACCGTTGGTGGCTCTGTTTTAGAGGGTGGTGGCACCTTCTTTAAAGGGATGAGGCCCTTCTGGCAGAAGTCGGCCACTAAACATGGACTTTAAAGGTCATGGCTGACTCCTGTTCTGGTCCTGCTTCCTCTGAACCGTGCACTGAACCATGGCCTGCCTGCACATCTCCTTTACATCAGCCACAGGCAGGAGTTTGGAGCTAGCGGGCAAGAGAGCCCGCTGTAAGTAAAAGCGCGTACTGCTCAAGCTGGCCAATGGGCTCCGTCTCTGGAACCCACAGTGGGAGGAGAGAAGTGCCTTCTAATGGTTGTCCCCACACCTCCACATGCCTGTGAGGCTTGTGCCTGCACACACATACACACGAGTTCAAAACAAAACATGGAGCTAGAGAATTGTTGTTCTGAGGGGAGAAATATTTAGAACAGGAAAATGCACACACACACACACACACACACACACACACACACAGAGAGGGAGAGAGAGAGAGAGAGAGAGAGAGAGAGAGAGAGAGAGAGAGAGAGAGTATTTCAGGAGCTGGAACTGTGCATCTGGGATAGTCGTCGGTGGATGCTGGGGAAGGAAGATCCTGAAGTGTGAACTGCACACTTTGCAGAGCAAAGTGCATGTAAGGAGGGGATTTCGCTTTGCAGCTATGAAATCTGCTCTTGACGAATTATTTTGACACTCATCCACCAGATGTCAGCCAAGTGTCTCATTTTAGCAAGGTGAGACTATGAATGACAGTTTCCAGAACGGCTCCAGAAAAAGCGCTTTGAGAATATCTGCCTGCACAAAGGTTCTGCCTGAACTGGCGCAGCTCTGCATTCCAGCCTGCTACCATTTACAGTCTAAAATACTTCTTACATCCGAGAAAGAGAAAGGAGAGTCTATTCCTGAGCTTTCTGTGCCTCGTGGGACACCATTCCCCCAGTCAGAACGAGCAAAGTCCCTGGTCACGTGGCCTGTGCTCATCTGTGTTTGCATCCGTTTGTCTTGCTAGCCTACACCTCCCTTTCAAGTCAGTAATTTATATCCTCGTTTAAATGATGTAAACATGGTTGTAAGCTAAAGATTGCTTACGAGAGAGAGAAAGAGAGAGAGAGAGAGAGAGAGAGAGAACCAGCTTCACCTACCCAGCCTGTTCTTGGTTCTATTCCTTGGGTGGGCTGCTTTCATTTCTTGTAATAAGTGGTTGCAGGGGTTGGTGGTGCTTGTTGCAATGACCAGCAGCTGCCCCATAGTTGGCAGTCCAGCAGCAAGGGCTCTCTCTTCCTCAGTGCAGGCCATTGGGAAGAGAGTGCTTGCTCTGCACTCCTTTAGGGACTCAGAATCAGGCTCCTGCCACTGTGCTATGGTACCGTCATTAGCACCTGGCCTTCAGGTCTTCCCTGGAAGAGGAAGGGAGGATGGACAGTGAAATAGGGAGAGATTCAAGGCAGATGAAGAAGCACTGCCTTCCCACTGCTCTCAATTCCTGCAGCTCAGAGCCCAGCACCAAAGGGCAACCCACTGTTGAGGAGCAGGGATGTGTACTTCAGCTGTGAGCCCAAGAAGGCAGAACCCAGGGTCAGGGAAACATGTCACACTGCCCACATCACTATGGGGTCAAAGACCTGGGATTCCTCTTCATAATGCACCTGAAGGCCCGGGATTCAGATAAGCAGATCTGCAGAGCCTGCATCCCGCAGCTGCAGCATCTACACCATCATCTGGAGGGCTTCCCTGGGTCCCAGCAGGCAAGCCCCTCTGACTTCCAAAAAACCCGTCTTAAAATGTTCTTATCTTATGTCTAGGTCGGAATGAGTGGGACCCCCAATCCTCTAACATCCCCACTATTCCTGCTGGGAGGAGAAAACAGATGTGACCGCCCCACATGGCCTGATGGCTGTGCCCAACCCACTTGGTCTAACTGAAGCTGTGCCCACCCTACCTGGCCTGACTGCTGCTCAGTTTCCGGAACATTCCTCTCAGTTTCAGGCCCCAGGGGAATCTTGGGAGCATCACTGGGCAGCTGGCACACATTAACTATGTGTGCTTCAGTTGGTCTCTATCATGTTTGAGACATTGATACCTTCAAATCTCAGCTGGTATATCAGGGAGTAAAACCAAAGCTATGAAGTCAGCTATGACTCCTCGTGACCTGTGGCTTGTCCAAATAGATCCTAATTTTTCAGCCCAATACATAGCTCATTTTTGTAATATTTGGTAATTGTATAGTAGGAAAAAAATTGTTCAGCCAGTGGCACCTGGGGAGCTGGATCCCTTGTGTAGCTCATTTTGGGGGAACGGCCTCACTGGATGTCCTGATGCACCGTGGCCCCATGACCTAACTTCTTGTGACCATGAAAAAAGGTTCCCTCAAGTTGGTGATGATTCACGAACCCACACTGAAGGGTTGTAACGACTCGAAGCTCACCCTATGCATTAGGATCCACTCTGCTTTTAAGATGAAAGCTGAGCCCTTTGCCCTTTTATTCTGTTTATTAGTAAAATGACACCCTGTAAAAATAACCCGGGCCCAGAAGATCACTACGGAAATAAAAGCCACCTTCCTATAACTAGGACGTTTTGGCTTCTGTGCCTCAGACGTGGCAGAGCTCTGAGAAGCAAGAGGGTACACACACCTGAGACATTTAAATCATGGCACCCTTACAGAAAGCATACATAAAGCACAGGCGTGCCGCGGAAGCTCGTGGCTTAAATGCATAGATTCAAAACAGAAAATGCACAGGGTGCTTGACAAGATCCCGTGCTATCTGTATGCAGGGCTATGATAATTTTCTCTGTATTGTTCCATTTTTAGTGTATGTGTTCCTGAAAAAAAAAACCCACTCAAATTTTATGAAGATGTCTTTCCATGTTAACAAAGAGTTAGAGTTCTTGAATATAAGCGTCGTTGACTGTTAATGCCTCATTGTTTATGATAGTAAAGAAGAAATGACAGAAAGGGCAGAGAGGGCTGCTTTAAAATACGTTTATTGGTATATAATCATTGTTGACAGCTTGGGGAGCAGGAGCCACTCACCCCGCCCCCCAGGTGACACTTCACACTGCATTCCGTGTCCTAAAGATATTACTACCTGTCAAGTCTGTAAGCATTGTGGCTCAGAAAGAAAGGTATCCTGCCAGTCAGGAGCCAAGGAATACCAGGTGAATTTAGGAGCTTACAGCCCTGCTCTGAAGGTTTCCAGCAGGGGCGGGGTCCCCAGGGAAGTTGTCACAGCTCTGCTCTTCCCTGGAGAAGTGCTACGGCGTTGCCCGGGTCCTCCAGACTGAAACAGCTCTGCTCCATGATGGGAATCCCCCCTGGGGAGTGTTACACTTCTGCTCTGCACCACTCTGCTCTGGTGAAAATGTCACACCACACTGCACAACAAACCTCACTCAACCAGGAGGGTGGCTGCCCTGCGTAAGAAACAGCAGCAACTGAATAGGGTACAGACCTTATATAGGATTTCTTGCAGGGAGGCGGTCAAAGCTTTCCAGGGTGGCTTGGGATTGGTAGATTTTTGTGGTCTGATTCTGGGGCATTAGTAGCATTTCATTCTCGGGGATTGGTAGGATTCTGTGCTCAGGGATTGGTGGGAATGTGCTCAGGGATTGGTGGCATTTCCAGCTCAGGGATTGGTGGGATTCTGTGCTCAGGGACTGGTGGCATTTCCAGTTCAGGGATTGGTGGGATTCTGCAGCCTGACTCTAGGAAATGTTCAGGGATTAGTGTAATTCAAGCCTTGGTCCTGGGGTCAAGTCAGGAGATTTTTCTTGGCCTTTTTCACCCTACAAAGACACGATGCTGGGGGCCAAGCATCCAACATGTGAACCAAGGGAAGATCTCAAATCCTTACAAACCATGGCAGCTGCTTGCCACTGTTGCTGCACTCTCTGTGACATAGTCCTTTTACATTCACAGAGCCTTCGGCCCCTCTCAGGCATCTTGTTCCTGCGTCTCATTTAATGCTTGCTTGTTTCTGAAGAAAGGTCATCCTGCTGCTTGCTCTTCCAGTGAAGAGTGGTCGCCTCAGCAATGTTAAATTTGTACTCTGCAGTTCTGCTTTCATATCTGTGGGAGTACGTTATGACTTTTGTTTCAGTGCTGGCTGGAATGAAACCTTTAAAAACACATTTGAATAATAATTAAACTCGGTGTATGTAGTGCCAAAGGAGCATACAACTCACGGTGGAGTTCATGCATGTCCAAGCAATTAGGAGGTTAACTGCCCTGTGAAATACACATATCCCAGAGGCAAGGAGATTATTATCTAGGCAGCATCATCTTTATAATTAAGGTTTCACCTGATCCATTCAAGATAATATGAACAGTCTGCACAGTTGTTATGAAGGTACCTGTGTTCCCTCACAAAATGGCTGCAGTCCTGTTAACAAAATACTGAGTATCACTTCAGTTAAAGTTCAAGGAAAATTGCCCTTAGAAAGAGGAGAACAAATTCAATGTCATAAGATAAAAGCAAGTTATTAGACTTAAAATCTCATTAATTCTTTTTTAAATTAAAAAAGATACTTGATGGAGATGGGTGTTTGGCCTGCATGTATGTCTGTGCACCACGCGTGTAGTCCCTGCTGAGACAGAAGAGGGCACTGGATCTCCTGGAACTGGAGTTATAGATGGTTTTGAGCTGCCACATGGGGGCTGGGAGTAGAAACTGGGTCCTCTGGAAAAGTCACCAGAACTCTTAGCTGTTGAGTCCTTTCTCCAGTCCCCTGCTGATGTGAGAATTAGTCTGTGTGGAGTGTTGGCAGAGCTGTAAAGAGACTTGAGCACAGACACCCAGCACATCCGGGAAGCATCAGTTTGGCTTAGAGATCCCGACTGGAAGGCAGCTGAGACATATTTTGAATCCCCTATAGCAGGTTTCTCCACTGGTGCAATAAGCCAAATAAAGCCAAATTAAGAAAACATAGGTTTGGCACAATATTTTGTTAATTTTCCAGGGTTCCTTTGCTGGCTGGTTTACTTTTTTTTATTTTTTGTCAGCTTGACACAAACTCAAGTGTATTTGAGAAGAAGGAATTTTTTAAAATTGTTTTTATGAAGCTATATATTTTTCTCCACTTCCCTCCCTTCCTCCCCACTTCCCTTCAACCCTCTCCCATGGTCTCCATGCTCCCAATTTAGTCAGGAGATCTTGTCTTTTTCTACTTCCCATTTAGATTAGAGCTATATATGTCTCTCTTAGGGTCCTCTTTGTTGTCTAGGTTCTCTGAAATTGTGAATTATAGGCTGGTTTTTCTTTGTTTTATGTGTAAAAGCCACTTATGAGTGAGCACATATTATATTTGTCTTTCTGGGTCTGGGTTACCTCACTCGATATGATGTTTTCTAGATCTATCCATTTGCCTGAAAATTTCAAGATGTCATTATTTTTTCTGTTGTGTAGTACTTCATTGTGTAATTGTACCACATTTTCCTTATCCATTCTTTGGTCTAGGGGCATTTAGGTGGTTTTCAGGTTCTGATTATGACAAACAATGCTGCTGTGAACATAGTTGAACACATGTCCTTGTGGTATGATTGAGCATCCTTTGAGTGCATACCCAAAAGTGGTATTGCTAGATCTTGAGGTAGGCTGTTTCCTAATTTTATAAAAAATCCCTATGCTGATTTCCAAAGTGGCTGTACCAGTTTGCACTCCCACTAGCAATACAGAAGTGTTCCCTTTATCCCACAACCTCTCCAGCATAAGTTGTCATCAGTGTTTTTGATCTTGGCCATTCTTACAGGTGTAAGATGGAACTCAGAGTTGTTTTTGATTTGCATTTCTCTAATGGCTAAGGATGTTGAACATTTCCTTAAGTGTCTTTCAGCCATTTTAGATTCCTCTGTTGAGAGTTCTTTGTTTAGATCTGTACCCCATTTTTTATTGGATTATTTGTTTTTTTGATGACTAATTTCTTGAGTTCCTTATGTATTTTGGAGATCAACCGCTGTCCAATGTGGACTTGGTGAGGATCTTTTCCCATTCTGTAAGTTACCATTTTATCTTGTTGACTATATCCTTTGCTTTACAGAAGCTTCTCAGATTCAGGAGGTCCCATTTATTAATTGTTCCTCTCAGTGTCTGTGCTACTGGTGCTATATTTAGTAAATGGTCTTCTGTGCCAATGTGTTCAAGTGTACTTCCCACTTTCTCTTCTATGAGGTTCAGTGTGGTTGGTTTTATGTTGAGGTCTTTGATCCATTTGGACTTGAGTTTTGTGCATTGTGATAGATATGGATCTATTTTCATTTTTCTACATGTTGATATCCAGTTATGCCAGCACCATTTTATATTTTTTGCTTCTTTGTCAAAAATCAGGTGTTTGAATTGGTATCTGGGTCTTCAATTTGGTCCCATTGGTCCTCCTGTCTGTTTTGTGCCAGTACCAGTTTGTTTTCAGTACTGTAGCTCTGTAGTAGAGTTTGAAGTCAGGGATTGTGATGCCTCCAGAAGTTCCTTTATTGTACAGGATTGTTTTGCTATACTTGTTGGTTTTTTCTCTTTCTTTCTTTCTTTCTTTCTTTCTTTCTTTCTTTTTTTTTTTGCTTTTCCATATGAAGTGGAATATTGTTCTTTCGAGGTCTGCTGGGATTTTGATGGGCATTGCATTGAATCTGTACATTGCTTTTGGTAAGATTGCCACTTTTACTATGTTGATTCTGCCTACCCAGGAGCATGGTGTCCATTTTCTGGTGTCTTCTTCAATTTCTTTCTTCAAAGATTTAAAGTTCTTGTCATACAGGTCTTCCTCTTGTTTGGTTAGAGTTACTCCAAGATATCTTATGTTATTTGTGGCTATTGTGAAGGGTGATGTTTCTCTGATTTCTTTCTTAGCCCATTTATCATCTGTGTACAGGAGAGCTACTGATTTTTTCGAGTTAATCTTGTATCCTGTTACATTACTGAAGGTGTTTATGAGTTGGTAGAATTTTTAGGGTCACTTATGTAAACTCTCATATCATCAGCAAATAGTGAGAATTTGACTTCTTCTTTTCCAATTTGTATCCCCTTAATCTCCTTTTGTTGTCTTATTGCTCTAGCCAGAACCTCAAGACCTATATTGAATAGATATGGAGAGAGTGGACAACCTTGTTTTGTTCCTGATTTCGGTGGGATCGCTGTGAAATTCTCATTTAGTTTGATGTAGGCTTGTTGTTTATTGCCTTATTTATGTTTAGATATGTTCCTGCTTTAAGACCTTTATCATGAAGGGATGTTATATTTTGTCAAAGTTTTTTTTTCAGCGTCTAATGAGATAATCATATAGGTTTTTTTCCCCAATTTGTTTATAGGTGGATTACTTTTACAGATTTTTGTATATTGAACCATCCCTGCATCTCTGGGATGAAGCCCACTTGGTCATGGTGGATGATTTATTTTTTGATGTGTTCTTAGATTTGGTTTGCCAGTATTTTATTGAGTATTTTTGCATCAGTCTTCAAGAGTGAGATTGATCTGTAATTCTCTTTCTTAGTAATATCTTTGTGTGCTTTGGGTATCAGTGTAATTGTAGCTTCATAAAGAGTTTGGCAATGTTCCTTCTGTTTCTATTGTGTGAAACAATTTGAAGAGTATTGGTATTAGTTCTTCTTTGAAAATCTTGTAGAATTCTGAGCTGAAACCATCTGGTCCTGGGCTTTTATTTTGGTTGGAAGACTTTTGATGACTGTTTCTATTTCTTTTGCAACTATATGTTTATTTAATTTGGTTATCTTGTCTTGATTTAATTTTGGTAAGTGATATTTATCCAGAAAATTGCCCGTTTTTTTTTTAAGTTTTCCAATTTTGTGGAGTATAGGTTTTCGAAATATGACCTGATGATTCTCTGTATT